GTATTTACCTGATCGTGTCGAACATTCAGACCATGCTGACCAGGGTCCGGTAGTTTCAATTGGCCTATCATAGCCAACATCTGAATAAGAAAAACATCATCCACGATTAATATCCTTTACAATTATAAATAATTAATGGTCTAGGTGAGATGCACCAAATGATCGAATGATCCCATCCAACACGTAATGCCTTACGCATTAACATATCAAAGTAATTTAACCAAATCACATGATTCCATCAGTCTAAATTTTACCACGATATTCAGTTGATTTAACTGATTACCTCGTTTCTTTTTTGACACTCCATCAGTAGAGGTCGTGAAATCAGTGAAGAGCGGTGGGAAAGGATCGAATTGATGGCAATCGGCTACAATTTCCAACGATCGTATCATATCTAACTTTTTCATCGGTTTTTCTGGTACCAAAGCAACCTGGAGCAAATGGACTTTTCAAGATATGTATGATAAAAAATTCTACGACTATTTTGTCTCCATTTTTTGATTCAGATTTTATCAAACACTCGATTTCCATAACTTTTAGAAAGCAACAAATACGAAACATCAATAAATTTGATCAAAACAATATATTCAGCAATATCAGTGTGTAAAATTTCGGAAATTAATCAATAATAAATGTTTTTTTTGTGAAAAATCTCTTTTCCAACATCTTAAAAAAATTTTAATTGAATAATCAAATCACTATTTACCAATCATACAGAAATAAATGCGCTTACATCTTCATCAATGCTATTTTTGCTGAATAGATAACAGATATGATTTTTCTCCCGTTCATGTAGATAGTAAAACATTACTGAAAATTAGTTTATCAACTCAATTAAAAATTTGATACAATTAAAATACTATTAAAATTGCATGAAATCTATAAATTACTTTCCAATATTTGATTAAAATTAAAAAATTATTCTTATGCTAAATGAAAATACGGATTGAAATTGTCGCTAATTATACATTTAGAGAAACAAGAGCTTATTGTTTCAGTTAATGTTTTATTACAAATTTATTGTGACTGGAATTTCTTTTTCACTTTTTTCCTTTTTCTGTAATCATGAGCATTATCTAGAATCCTTTTTCATATTTAAATATTACCCATAAATTTGCACGCCAATAGGCTAATAATCTTGTTTAATTTATCAGTTAGCATATTAAATAGTTTTTTAATCATAAATTTGATTTATTCAGAAAAAAAAAAACTATCGCAGCCTAGTTGCTAGTTATATTATTAAATGTTTATATCAATACTAAATTAAGAATTCCTAATTTAAATTAATTTCTTCAAATTTTGCACATACCTGCGACACATTTCGGATACAAATCAACACAGTTCCGGCGACATTCACTAGCTGAATAGAGCATAAGACGTGTAAACGGTTGAATGCCCATAAACGCCGTATTGTTGTGCATTCGAAGACAAAGTGATTCGATCTAAATAAAATAAAACAATGAAATATTAAATTAAAGAATCAAATAAATAAATGAGTGGTTTTCCGATTTCTGGTGCATTATGATGACTTTAAAAATCCGGACAAAAAAAAAAGTTGAGAAAAACATAAATTAAAAGTTAGCAAATTATATAAGTAAATATATTTACAGAGACTGTGAATATCTTTATAGAAATTCAATCAATTGTTTAAAATTTTAAATCTAGAAATCCCTTCTACTTTGATTATTTATATAATTCACAAATAGATTCTTGCAGCATAAATTTTAAGCACATATCTTGAATACTTAATAAATTATTTCACACGTTTTCATTTTTGCTTTTATTACTTGCTACTATTTTTTCATCATTTACGAAGAAGTTTCGCTTTTGACAGCTTAACTGATCTCTCCTAGACTGCAATTCAACTGCCTTATTACCAATTCCTATTTAAACTTTGAAACAGTTCCTTCAATCATCAGTCAATAGATGAAGAAATCTTCATCTATTGACTGATACTACCAATCTTCTACAAAGTAAATCTTTACAAAATTCTTTTATTCAAAACAACGAACTGCTCGAATTAAAGACATCATGGCAATACTATTTAATCTGTAAGTTAATATTTTCACATGCCATTATGTAGCATAACATCGCTTGTTTAGTTTGAAAAGTTAAACTTTCACACTCGTTTTTCTCTCTCTCCTCCTCTTACAAAGTATGCCCAAAAATTCAAGATTTTTCACGTGTACACGTCACGTGTTCATTGGTGCCAGATTGTTTAACTGGACGTCAAATCAGCGTTTACTTCTGTAGCATTGAGCACCGAAGTAAGATTGTCCACAGGTGTTTCATCAGTTTTTACCGCATTAGACACCTCAAATACAGTCATATTACCATCGTTAGTTGAATAATTCCCTGCTAATCCTGCAAAAACAAATGAAGTGGAAAAAACTGATAATTCTGACAATTTCTGTGTTAACATTTGCTTTTTTTTTTCGAATTAAAAAATTCGCCTTGAAAAAATTTAACCAAATACTAAAATTTTTCAATGATTATATTTACAAAAAGAATCCCATCAAAGTTTATTAATATTATTTTAAAATATTGCTTAATATAATTATTGATCGCCCAGAACAATTGCTATGAATAATTCCCCATTTTTCCTTGTAATATTTACCGTATCCTACACAGTTACCGTATTTCATTGTTGTTAATCTTGAAAATAGTGCAAAAAAAAAAAATTTTTTTTGCAAAAAATGATCAAAAAACATTTTTCTAATTAAATTTCACTACAATAGTAAAACATGATAGTGAAAGCTCTTTCCTTTATTTTGAAATCATACATCGTTAATCGGTCAGCTGTTTATTTGAAGGAAGAAATGAAAAGAAAAAGTGACGAATTTATGGCTATCACATTTTCAACAGTGTAACATAAATTAAAAATATTCCATTAAATTTTGTTTCATTTTTAGAAAAACATTCAATAGATGAACGATACAACTAAATTATAACTATTTAGGATTAAAAAAAAGTGAATTTTTTCCTTTTTTGAAGAAAAGAATAAATTTTAGAATTCAATAAATAATCCTGATAACATATAAATTCGATTTTTATATATCTTGCAAATATCGAAATAAATTTTTACTGATTTTGCTTGTTCAAAATTTTCCTTCTCGGACGGAATTGTAGTTTTTGAAATTTAAATTATACTTCAAAAAAAAAAAAAAAAAAATATAAATCGGGGATTGCTAGAATTTATTACGGTTTATAAAAATTATAGAATCCTTCCATTAATTAAGCTTAATTGACTCTTAATGAACTTATTATGCAGTTGTTGCTCAAAGTTCTCTCATTTTATTAGTCATGCGACGATAGTTATTGTAAAGATAATGAACATGAGTTTATTTAAGATATTAATTAACTCGGCAAGATTGTAATTTGATTTTTTTAAAGTTTAGTTTAAGCCTAGGCTATTAAGTATGTAAATAAATTAATCTTTCAATTGTAATCACCTAGAAAATCTGCACATCTGTCTTTTTGTTGTATTGCTTTTTTAATTTCAGCAAAATGCTTAGCTTCTTTTTTTCATGGATATTCAACAGCAGTTGTTTCAAACTTAATGTGCGATGAATTGGAACTAGCAGCGCTTAAAACTAGCCATTTCTAAGTGAAGTAAAAGAATTAAAATTTCTTTCAAATTCCCAAAAATATTTTTTCCCAATTTATTTCTTTTTTGCTCTGTTATGTATTTTATTCATCATTTAATTAATAAACATGACAACTCTAAATAACATTATTATTAGTTCACAACGATCATGTCATTGTAAAAAAAAGTGTGCTCTATTTCATAATTTTTAGAAGAAATAGGTTTATCCTTCTTATCTCTATTGATTATTGGTTTAAATAATAGTTCCATTATGTAATAGATAACTAAATCCTGGCTCAAGTACACCATAATTTTGAAAATTTATGTTTGTAATATTCGGAGGGTATTTATTCCAAAATATTTCCGAAGTAATATATCGAACTTCTGGGATTGTTTTGCCTTTCTGATAAAATAGCGTAGTATCCATTTTAAAAGCCATAATTACCTCTAAAGAAAGTATTTGCTATAATTATTGCAAGCATACGGTATTTATAATTGACATAATATTTGGAATGATTATATTTATAACAAAAATGATAGTTGTAATGATAACAGTGCTAGTAGCGAATATTTGCTTAAAGCAATAACAGTACTTAATAACAGTTGTACGATTAACAATAAAGATATAAATGACAATGATAAAAATGATAATCAGAATAAGAAAAGGGGAAAGGGTGGTGAAGAAATGTTAAACAAGTGATAACCACTGATAAAACAACGAACCATTGATGAAAGAAGGAAGCAGTGAAGAAAGACTGAAGAATAGTACCAGAATCCGCAGCATCTTGCCATCGTACTTCTGCATCCTTATGTAGCTTTCCGAACGTTACGTCCGGTATGTTTGAAACTATCTTGTAAGCTCAGCTTATACCTTTTATCATCCTTATTCATAAGTTAGCCTTTGAAAAAGAGAGCCATTTCTCGATGAAAACTCCGCCTCTGTCTGCTCTTCCGTTTGTTTAACTTTTTTTTTTTATTTAGACACATCCATTAAATTACTAACCAAAATATAGAAGTGTTCAAAAGTGAAGAAATTTTAACAACAATCGGAGAAATTCCATATTCTAATATTTGATTCCTTCTTCTAGTATGTTTTAACAAAATTATTCATCCGTTTTTCTAAATGAATTACCCAATTTCAACAAAATATTTTCACTTAGTCGGCATATTTCTTATTACCACTTAATAATGAGAAAATATTAATGAAAACATAAGTTTTATTTATAGAAATACTAGTCAGTGTAGAAATACTAGTAAGGTACAATAAAGATTGAGTAAATTATAGATTTCACTTGAAGCATTGTTCTGGTTTCCTAATTTTTATCCGTCTTACAATGATTATCCAACTCTCCGCTTCTCCCGAGCATCAGCCATATCAATCTATTGAGATACTGCTGCTTCTGACGTAATTCTTTTATAATTCATGACAGAAATTGATCACTTCCGATGCATACCTTTCCCGCATAGCAAAAAATTGTCCAGTTTCTAAAGTGAATTATCACATATTTTACTCATTTTCACCGCTACTAAAAAATGATAATTTATCAGAGAAATTTTGTAAGGTTTTGTGCCTTTAATTCCTTTTTACCAAATTTTTAATCGTTAAAATGTTCCAAAATACTCTTCATACAAATTCATTAGAAATGTAAGAAATGACCAAATACTATACGCCATATCGTGCTAACGCCAAGTAACCGGAATTGTAATTTGATATGTAATTATATATGCCATTTTGACCATGGATACTATATAGCATCTTTAGATACATAGTACATTTCATAAGATCCTGCAGGTACCTTCCAGATATTTAAAAACTCTGAGAACATCTATGTGACCGACCTTTTCTACCGAGAATGAGATTAGTTTAAAAGTGGGAAAGATGAGCGATTGCGAAATGTCCCAAAACAAAAAAGTTTTCTTCCACAAATCCCAGCAACATTGTTTTTATGATTCTCAACAGCAACCGTATCCCAGAAATAAATCCCTAACAACTGTCGTTCTTTTTGCATGTGTTTCAGCGACTAGCACTACAGGGCAATTGCCCGGTACTTACCGAAAAAAAGAAAACTTTTCAGCTCAAGGTCGTTTCGTAATGCAAGCATAAGTTGCTTATCTTTTTAGATTTTTTATCTTAGGCAGTAACAGATATACTATTTGTAAATATCATCTCTATTCACTCATGGGCATTTCCAACTATGTCCGAAGAATATAATACTTAAAATTCTGGAAAAGATGAACTGATACAGCCATCCTTCAGCAGCAAAAAACATGAAAGTATCTCTATCTCTCAGAAACATTGATAAAGTTAATGATAATGCTGACAGTCAAGCCCATATCTTCTTTCCCTTTACCGTGCTAAACGATAATGAATGTACACAATACGATTAAGCATACACGTTGAATATCACCTGGCTCATTTACCTTTTATCGCTGGTTGCCGTCTTAATGAATCCTTAAATGAGATGATAGGGTGATGCGCGAACCACGGTGATGTTCTTTCATTGTATTTGCCCACAGCAATGTGGAAGGGTAAGGAGATAGAGTAAAAAATATAGACTGTATGTAAATCAATCATGTACGATGCAAAAAAGAACACGTTTTTACACAATTTCTATTTTCATTCATACTAAGCAATTTCAAAACCATACATTTTCAATATTTTTTCTTCACATTACTATGTGGCACTAATGAAAGAATAAGAGGAGAAAGTTTCCTGCATTCAAAACATATATATATATATATATATGTATATATATCACCTCTATAAGCACCACCAACCAGAAACATAATCTCACTAGCTTACCGAACTACGATGTTATGCTGGCTTCGCTCGTACCACATGGATAATAATTCACCGAAAATTAATTATGCTTCCGAAAAACCCTGAAACGAGAAAAACAAAGCAAAACCATTGTTCCATCAACTAACTCTGAATTAACAGACATAAATTTCAGGGATAATACATTAAAAATCATTATCCAACATTCATCCGGTTTTCAGCAGAAGGTCTCGATTGTAAGAAGTGTAATGGATACCTTGGCACTAAAAACCCCAACTTTACAACTTAATTATTTCATCACCAATATCTCTCACTCTTAAAACACTGCTCTCTATACTATTAAAAGACTAACGTAGCCGAGCACACCCATTTTAAACTTACCAGAATGAGGATTCTTTTCAACTATTATCAAAAAGAAACTATTATCAAAAAATAACTGTCATTTATTAAATACCCATCATTCGTAATTAACTGCTTAGTTTACTTGGCTCAAAGCAATTCCCCTATGTAGAGTGATATTTCACTGTCAACTAGTCCACACATATACTTTTAAAATTAAAGGCAGTTTCACTGTCAACTAGTCCACACATATACTTTTAAAATTAAAGGCAGTTTCACTGTCTCGGAATATTATAGAAAAAATTTTAATGAAAAGAAATAAAATATACGTTATTAACACAGAGCAAGCCAATAATAAGCTGAAAGTCAAATGGCTACATGAATTTAAAACAAAAATTTGAATACTGTGATTTGAAATATCTTAAGCCTTTGCTAGAGTAGAAATTTGTATCGAGGCTAGAAAAAAAAAAAAAAACAGTGAAAAATTGACATACCACTAAAAAATATTTATAAACTGAAATTTACCGAATGAACGGAAGAAGTTCTAATTCTTTCCTGAAATACTATTTATCGAATAAAAATTTTAATAAATACAACACGGGTATTTCGAAAAATATAAGTCCTTGGTTGCCAATTAAAATAACTTAAATTAGATAATCAAACAAGCATTATAAGATAATAAAAATTTTCAATAAATACGATTCTGATAACAGCAATTTTCTGAAGAAAAATTCAATTATACCTGTCAGAAAAGTGGAAAATATGATTTCCAAATCATGAAGAAAATATGCAAGAATGAAAAGCCACTTTACATTAATCATGCAAAAGCTATTTTTCTTTAAAAAAAGAAAAAACTACAACTTACTTCATAATATCCATTGTAATGTACACTTCTTATTTACATTGCATCCTTCATCATCGCTTCCTTCGCTGTATATTACCACTCATTAATCAAAAACTTCCTTTTCAATTTAAATCACTTGCTAATGAAGAAAGAATCTTAATGTATTCATGAAAGGACAAGACAACTAAGAAGCACTTTTAATAATAAATACATAATGGAACATTAGAAAATGTTTTACGTTATTTTTTAATCATTACGTTACTTGAACAAACTCATGAAAGTCCAAAGATTGGACAAAAATTCAAAGCTTTGCTTACACGCAACTTAATATAAGCAGAAAAATAGCAGAAACCTCTTAACTGCTTCGTTATGACGTAAAGACAGTTGGGATACGTTAGACATATCAAGTCCGTCACACTTCTTTTTAATCACCGAATAGTAGTAACGATGAGGAAACGAACACTGAAATTTAATTCAAAAAAAGTGAATTTTGGCACCAGTTCTGCAATAAATTATCAAATAGATAGCACAAAATTAGTGAAACCCTTACAGACCTCACATCAATCATTTCCTTTCCCACCAACCCATATCTCGTTTAGTTCATGCATAGTGTTATGGCTCAGAAAGAAGATTAGGCATCTTTCAAAGAATGCATGTGAATTCAACCGACGGAATTGACAAATTAACTTGCATTCTCAATGTGAAGTTTGCGTCATCGCCATACAGGTCCACAATTCAAGAAAAACTTTCCAATGTCATAAAATGTTTGCAACTTCATAAATTAAAAATAAAACTTCAAAGGATTTAAAGAAGAAATAGAATTTGTAAGATTCAAACTGAATCAATTCTTTAAATAACGATAGTGTACAGTTCCTATAATTGCAAGATGATAAATTTAAATAACATACGCCTGAGCTTTTTTTACAAATTCCTCGATTGAAATCTTCACATGGTTTACTGCCAACTGCATGCTTAACATGCAAATATTGACAATGTTCATTGGAACAAGTAAGGCGCAAAAAATAATCACAAACTGGCATCTGATGTGAAGAAAGGCAATGAGCCTGCTTACAGTGACCTCGACACAAACCCAACATTAATCTGAAATTAATACACGATGCTTATCTTACTCTTCATCAAAACAAATAAATTAAAATCTCTAAGTATAATTCATCTAAATTAAAGAAAAAAGAAACCCTACTTGCTACAAATCTTCGTCATTCTGTGGGTTGAGTCACCGTCATGATCAAACGGACAAAAGACATCAGCTAGGCAATGACGATGTTCCGCGAATTCAAAACATTCGTGAGATGTCTCCGTATACAGCTTATCTTTAAAAATTACAGTTAAAAATATTAATACTAAACTAGTAATAGAAAAAAAATCTGGTTTAAAGAAAATGTAGACTAATTTATATTTCACATTAAAATGGAATTATGTTAAGAATATTTTTGTTTTCACCTCTAATCCTACGAAGTCGACGGTTTATCCTTTGTCCATTAAATGCAATATTATGCACCGAAGCAGTCTGCTAAAACAGGCTTTCATGAATATATGAACTAAAATAATAGATGATTACAAGAACTAAATAACAAAAACTATTTCAAGTGTTTTTTTTTTTTATAATCCTTATATCTTTATTTATTTTTTATCTTAATACATGCATTTTATAATGTACATCTTTAACAAGAAGAAACCTTACAGGCACTTCATCCTCAACTTCCAAACCTTCATTTGTTAATCGTCTTCTCCACGACATACCGTTCTTTGACATTGTCCCATTGGAAAATATACGTTTCACTGGTTTTGCTGTCTTTGGTACTACAGGTAACGCATTCGAATGAGCAGAAACTACAGGACTAGCTAAAACAAAACAACTTAACCGAAAATCACCTTATTAAGTATACATACAGAGAAGTACAATCTATAAAAGGTAACAAACAGTTCACAAACATACAGGAAACTTCATTACTGATGACGAGATTTGAAGTCAGAATCTTCTGCGCAGGATAAGCAACTTTACGCACAATTTTGGTAGCAGTACGAATAACAGCTGGAGCCTGATCTATGGGTAATGAACGTTTCAAAGACGCAAATTTCAACAGTGGATCAGGACTGTTGCGATGAGAATCCTGAAAAGGAATATGGATTATTTACAACATTTGAGTGCTGTTAATTCAAATAGTCTCCATTAGTGAAACAAAAATTTCTCATCCAGTACTTGCAAACTATTCTTGGAGGTAAATAACAGAAACAAAGACCAACGAACCGGAAAATGAAAAAAAAAAAAAAAAAAATCCAAGCACCATATCACAGACTGGTATAATCTTATGCATTACTTATAGAACTATATAAAAAACTGCATTCTTGTAATAAGGCAGTTTTTAAAAACTGAGTACTTTTTCAGTTTGAGATTCATTGTAATCGCTGCTATCATAATTTATATCGTCACTTCGCACTTTCAACGGGAATGTACGTCCTCCTGAAGATTGTGGGCGACCACAGTTCTCCGGAAATTTAAATACCTTCCCTTTGAATTGCGATCGTGTGGTAAGGCAGTTTTCATTCGCAGTTGCTTCTTTTTCAAGTTCTGAATTTCACTAGGCATAATCAATCAGATCTATGATCCAAAGAATCAGTAGTATTTATTTTGCTCGTTCCCTTATCCCATCCTTTCCCTTCTAAAAACATACAGTACAAATGTGAACTGGAAAAATGTAATTAACCAGTAGAAAACTTCGTGTTCTGTTCAATCAAACCATCTGACTGAATTGCCTGTAATGCAGTAATGAAAAAAGTCGATTTGTAAATAAAAATATCATTCCATTTTCTCTGCACTTTTTGTCAGAATTCTACAATCAACTATTCACATTTTCACTGAGCATTTTTTTAGCATTAAAAGAGGTTAAAAAAAAAAAAAAAAACGATGCATTTATACAATTCATCTTAAATCACTTATCAATATCACTAGTTTCCAAACAGCTGTAGAAAGCAAATATACACACTAGATTTATAATTTGGTATAAGAAATGTTGAGGCGAAAAGCTCCTTAGTTCTCATAAAAAAGAAATCTAACCTGTTGAACATTCTGAAGGATACCTTTTTCAGCACGCTGAATATCATTCTCTGTAAATAACTGTCATGCAATGCAAGATTTAGAAATCGATTTTTTTTTTCTAATACATATACCATGTCCATTTCAGCTAATTTAAGTTTCTAAAAAAAAAAAAAAAAAAAAAAAAAAAAAAAAACTGCCTATAAACCTGTGTTAAAGCTAGTGATCTGCAACGTCTCAGCGATTTGCTTTACTGGCATACCAAACTAAAAATATGGCGGTTAAAAGAAATAGAGGTTAAAAGATTAAAAGAAATTTTCTGGACAAGAAGTTATATAATTCCTATGGAAATTATAAGATACTTTGCCACACAAACGATATTTAGCTCAGATCGAACAGTGAAGAAGCAGTGGAAAATTTTACCTCAGGTGGTGGTGGCGGTGAATCAATTAAACGAATATAAGTTCGCGGTTCGGAATGTGTTTGTGTTATTCGGTTAATGAAATTATTGCGCAACACACCCACATTAGATGCGTGTAATGGTTCACCTGGTATTCATACATGTATAAAGACACAACACAGGAGTAACGAACAGCATACTTTTCGTTCGCTAACAAAGCTTTGTTTCAAATGAGCAAAAAAGTACTTAATTTCCTGCTTCTTTACTTAAACTAAGAGATGTAAATATGAGTATAGGGCATGAAATGATAAGAATATCACGTCAAATAAGTTAAGGAAATCAAGTAAATTATGGAATTACTATGGAATGAAAGTTATTTATGCTAATAATATATGATGCTCAATATAAAAAAGTACAAATCTGAAGGTACACATCACAAAGTAAACTAACTTTCACTCATTGCAGTAGTTACCGGCTCGTAAAATTGTTGTGTACCCGGCCAGTAAGAACCTACAAAAACTATTAAAATCTATTTTTGTCGATTCGACAAAATGGGATGATGCGATGCAACAACCAGCACCGGATATTGAGAGAAACTGATAGCATATTGGTCATCCAATCCACTAGTGATTCCACACTTCGGAAAATTTTTGACTACTAACAAGTAGAACTGTTTTCTATCTACTTTTCCAAATACCATCCTTCGCTATATCGATAGTGATGTATTTCCTTGCAGTTAGGAGATGATTATATAACAATTTAGCAAAGCCAAGATAAATCAATCAAATAATGACTTTTAAAAATCGAACGAATTAAACCAGTAACCGCATTTGTCCAAAATAAATTAAATAATGTATATAAAAAAATTGGAAAAGACAACCGACTCTACTAAGGCAATGAAATATATACTTCCGTGTAAGCATTATGAATGAAACCACCTGTTATAAGTGTATTATTATTTGTTGTTAGCTGTAACGGCGGAGGTTCAGGTAGAATTGAAAACGTTGATAATGGCAGAGGTGGTGGTGGCGGTGGAGGCGGTGGCAATGATAGTGCATCACATCCAACTGTAATCTATAATCCACTGATACGTGATAAGATTAACATCTGCGAAAGAATAAGGAAATCAGGTAACATTTGTTAGTAGGCGATTATGAATATACAAATCTTGAAGATACTAGAATTCATCTTTATAAAAGTTATCAAATCTTATTCGGAAGAAAATCATATTTTCCAGAAATGATCTGGAGGAGGAAAATAGCCAAAAACATGAATTAATAAGCAGGATCTATTTATATTTTGGTAAGCAGTATTAACTGGAATAATTTCAGTGAAATTGTTTTTACTCAATTTACTATCCATTTTTAAAAATTTTAAAAAATATGAAATCCAGTATGAGCTTTACTTTCAAGGGTAATATTGTTTCATGTTGTTTCACATCCACCAATCCAATTCGTCCATGGCGAAATTCGTGATGATATGACATAAAACTGCAAGCACTGCAATTAAAGTATTTTCTTAATTCCAAAAATTGCAAATTAGAATCATCACACTGGGTGAAGGGAAGTAGACGACATATTTTGTTGGTTACTGAAAAATACTGATTGCATTTATATGTATAGCCATACAATCCCCATCACCTTTCAAAGATATCAACAGTAAGATTTTATCTTTCGTTAATTTCTACAACGTCAGATATAATTACACACCCAAGATAACCTGACCCACGTGACCCCATCAACGAACACCTCTTGGCCTCAATCCAAAATAACATCACCGACCGCAGTCCAAGGAGTAATCCAATGCAACATGATCCAATCAAACCAACAGTTCATGAATTTCGTGATCTGCTTCTTGACTCTACTCTTCATGGCTGAATCTTTTTGATCTCTGGGAATACTTTGTTTTGAAATCGTATTAGTTGTCACCGCTTTTTTTTGTTATTTTCTTTGTTTATAAATTATGCTACCATTATGCAGTGTAATTGCAGGCAGTTTCTCACTTTTTTATCTAACAACGTCGACACACATTTGTTTCTTTTCACTTTTCATTTCATATATAATCGGTGAAATTTTCAATTTTCCTTAATGTGAAATAATGCTTCTCAGTTTGTCAACTTTTGATGTCCTTATTAAATATAAGAAAAATTTGTACTAAAAAGCCAATTTGCTTTTTAGTACAAATTTCTCCATTCACAATACTTTTGAAATTCATTTCAAATTTCGTTATGAATTTTTATACTAAAATTTTTCAGTTATCCAAAATTGGATTACTGAACATCACTTTATTATCTCCAGCATCTTTCTAAATCAACTTCGTGTTCTTCCAATCCCTAATCAATTTCTGATATGTCCGTAGATGTATAGGATGAACGTTTCAGATGAATACAAGCAACAGTAGCAGCAGCGGCAGCAATGCATTTTTCAGAGGTGAAGGATGCAGCAAGTATGTGATACCAGGTGATCGGCTCTTTCCTATTAGTGAACAGTTGAAGGCAGGTATCGGTACCTACGAATTGTTCGGACATATTTATGCATCACTAGCTGGTACCATGCATATGTATACAACTGTCGAGGTAAGTTTTTCTATCTCATGTAAATTATAAGTTATATTATAGATTATTCATCTTCAGAATTAAATGGTAATTATCACTTTCACTGATAAGAATGGAAAAAAGGATAACACACTGCTTGTATTATTTGACAGGTTTAAATGTATTTCTCGAAATTGTAGACGGTTTAGTACCTTCGAAAATCCTAAATCTTGTAGAGTGTCTTTACTTTTCATTTTGCAGAATTTATGTGAGGACAGATGGAAGGGTTTCTTTTCGGGAAAAAAGTTTCAACTTGAGAGAAATTCGTCACTTGGAGACATGTGGGGAACGCAAATGCTTTCATTTATTATTACCTGTTTTTTTTTTTTTTTTTTTTTTTTTTAAAGTTGGGAGTTTGGAAGATGTTGAATAGAACAGGAATTGAAGTACTAATACTTTTATTCCTGCAGTCTAATTTATAGCGTGACAAAGAAACAAAAATAGTGGAAGTGCGACGAGAATCGGAAAAAGAGAAACGACATGTCATGCCATACGTGGGGTGTATTGTAACTGCAAAGGTTTATTTTGCTTAATGCTCATCTCTACGTGGTTGCCGAAAAAGCTAGAAATCCTAAAACTGAAAAAACGAAACAAAAGAAATTTAAAAATTTACAATTCTAAGTGAACATAAAACCTGCCTTAATGTATTATCGGATTGAACATTTTCTATATCAAGCTTTTTTTTATAATTTCTTTTTTCTATTATTTTTCAAGATACTAAGCTCTTTAAAGTGTTGATAAAGAACGCTATATAGACCAATTTAGCATACTAAGCTTTTGTTTTTGATTTGGATATAGGCAAGATTGATGTAGTTAGCTTATTTTAGGTGCAAAATATTGGTCAGAGGTTTGCCAAGTGTACGATACACTGCGTGGAGTGTTCTGTTTTATCTCACGAATTTAATGGAGTATTGAGGAAAGAAGATATAATGCCTATCGAGAAAGAAAAAGTGATTTTTTTCAGCTGAATTAAATTATTGAACTTTATGTATATATGTCAATGATAGATATACTATTGCTTTCATTTTTGGATGAACTTATGTATATTTTGTTGTTTTCACACTTTCAGAAACTTCCAAATAACCTAGGAAAAGATTGTTGCATACAGGTTAATTACAACTTTAAATAATGAGCGGATTAAACCGAATAGCGATTAATATTAGGAAGAAACAAAACTATCTGCTGTAGTAATCTCGATGATTCCTTAAATAGGACCTAATATATTTTTGCAGGTAAAACTAGAGCAATGTATACATCCCGGTGATGTCATCCTGGCACGTGTTATTGGCTTCGGTGATAATCAGCATTCATATTTACTCAGTACCGTAGAAGATGAATTGGGTGTTGTGAGCGGTATTGGTGATTTGGGTGAACGAATGATACCATGTTCTTTTGGTGAAATAAAATCAGTTATATCAGGTACACGTGAACCTCGAAAAGTTGCGCATATACCTGATCTGAATCATTGAATTTTTGGATTTCTATAATTTGTTTTGTGTTTACTGTTATTCATGTTTATTTTGTTGATTTTAGGACGAATTTTTAATTTAAACTCATGTTTTGATGTATGAAAAGAACCCAAAGTTTCTCAGAAAGAAATTTGAGATTTAAAGCCTAAGGGAAATATTGGAGATATCTACTTATTTGAAAAAAAAAAAAAAAAGGTAGATCCTACTTTATAATGAATTTTATGTTGTAGTATTCATTTAGGGTTTTGACGGTCAATATTGTGAGCCTTTTGCCGGCTAACTTATGCTATTATGTTGGGTATTTTTCTCATTGCTAAAGATCCTCATGTACAACTCATGTCTTAGATTTATGTTTTCATTAAATATTCAATTACTAATACATTCTTCGTTATGCGTGATGTGAAATGTGGAACATGATGTTCGAATGTTGATTAAAGTTAACATGTTACTAAATGGAATGATTTTATGAGCTTAATCGTGGAATGATTTATCAGCTTAATCGTTACTGTGCACGAAAGTCTAAAACGTTCTCTTCACATTCGCAAGAGACAGGATGCCACGTTTTAATTATTCTTCTATTTTCCTTAATAAAAAAATTGCTTTAATAATTGGCCTTTCCGTAACTGAAGTCCGAGATTTATCACTTACCTAACTGAAGTTATTCAATTTGATCACTTATTTTAATTATATATTTTTTCACAGATTAATATTTAGTCGAAATGTATCCAATCGCACTGTTGAACAAATGACAGCGCTTCTGCATGAGTAATTTAAAATAAGACTATTATTGTTTCTCCACACCAATCTCTGTATTTTACGGCTGGAGTGATTATAAGGATGGAGATAATCACGGAAACAATTAGGGTCACTAAAAGACGTTACGACTTCATCTTTAAATTTCATAGTTTTCTCGTGTGTCATCTAAATAATAAATGATTATCCATAAATATGATCAGGATTGATTTCGTTGAATTATTATCAGTCCGAATTAGCATGAAAACAGAATTAATCGCAAATATATAGTTATTTTATGACGGATAGCGGAGTAATTTAAAATGTATCATTTCAGGCTTGTAATGTTTAGTCGATCATTTACACCTAATTTATTATTTCTGATAGGGCAGAGGAATGCTATTACAAGAAAATTGTTCGCAGTTACTTTCGGTCCTCATTATCGTGTAACAGCCAAAGGGTATCAAGCTAATTCAACGACTGTCAGAGATATATATAGCAAACTTACGTCTTATTCATCATCCGACCAATGGCGTGTAAGTACTTTTGTTTTGTAAGAAGAGATTCCCATGGCAGGAGAACTCCGGTAAGAATGTTATACAGCTACGTTATTTCATAAGTCTGAAATTTAGAAACTATATTGTTCCATCTTTATCAGTTAGCTTGATACATTTATTAGGGGAATACGACTATATGTAAAAACTCGAAAGAGATTCACATTTCTTCCGATTGAAGTACTGATTATTTTTAACAATTTGGCTCTAATGCCTTCTGCTTTACAGATTTACATTATTTTACAGGATGCTGGAGAACAGCTAGTCGAAAAGTATTTTGCATCATCGATGTTATACCGACGTTCTATTTTGGTTGAACTTTCGCAGAATTTTGGTGTAGATCATGCAATACTTAAACGATCCATTGAACTCTACCATAAAGTTTGCAGTTCATTCTCATTAATTCAGCATTAGAATACAAATGCATCAAGGAAAATTTATGGTCAAATGACTGTAAGCTAAAAGATAAATGGTATTGTATTAGTGGGATACGGATTCTGAAATATTTAGTAAAAATCAATATACAGGTATGTTGCTATGAGAATATACATTTCTGGAACATAAATATTTCTTTTTTTTTTCTTTTAAATTAATTAAAATTCATCCATTTTCAGAATGAACAAGCATTTATGAATGTTGCTTCAGCATCACGTCCACATTATTTTCGACTTTTCCAATCTATTGGCAACATGACAGGCGGTGTGGAAAGGATATGTTCGATGCGTGCTGATCTTTTGGTGTGTACAGTCATTACACTTTTCAATACAAAAATTTTGTTAAATCTTATTTCTCTGTACAGGTAGAAATTAGATTACTAATAAAAGAAAGTTATCTTTATCATAAGGACAATATGATATGAATTGGAATTGGAATCTTTGTTTAGAGATTATTTCACTTTTGAATTTCAGGGAATGCTCTGTTCTTCGGATTTGACGCGAACTGATAGTGCAGCGTTACGACCGGTCGAAAATTGTTTTCGTGAATTACTGACGCTTTGGTTTTGTCAAAGTAATTTGCGTTTGCAACAACTGACGATTGAATCACCGGGTGACATTCTTGATAAAGTTAGTCTAATTACATTTGTAATTTTTTATTTTCAGGATTTAAGAGAAATTTCTGTCATACTATTATTGACGAGTGGTTAGATCTGTAAATTTTTATTCTCTGAGTAAGGTTTGAAATTTAATTTCTTGGTTTTCAAATGTAACTACACATGTAATTTCGCGACATTTTTAGGTTATCCAGAATCAGTGAGCTACACAATTATTCATCAGTTTTCTTTCTCTTAGGTTATGAAATATGAAGCTGTGCATCCAATAACCGGTTTGATAGATATGAAACGACGCCTTGGTCCTAATCGACGTTGCTTTGTGTTTATGCATGAAGCAATGGCTCGTGAACCGTTGGTTGTTGTTTATGCCGCATTTATGAAAAAGATTGCCAAAAATCTTGAAGTTAGTCGGATTTTCTGCTAAATTATAGTCTTTAAGTTAAATTCGCTAAATACAATTGTCATTTTACATGTTTCGTCGTTTATTAGTTAAGTTTCTTGAGGAATCTTCAAGATCAGTGAAGATGGATATGACCACATTCAGATGACAGTATCTTTCAGAATTCGCATATGAATTTCTTAGCAGTATTTAAAGGAAATTATGAAACTGTTTCCTTATAGTTTTCTTATATCGTATTTGACAGTGATGGTGGTAGAAATGGCCACGCATTAAAATAACTTATTGAAATCAAATATATATTTTTCTATAGATCTATTTATTCTATAACAAAATTGTAATTCTGTCAACTTTCAGGATATAATGAATGACGCCGATATATTTGAGGATGAAAATGTAAGTGATACAGCGATCTTTTATTCGATATCATCAACACAAGCAGGTTTTGCTATCTTCATATCATTTTCAGAATACACTTAATATGAGTTTTTTAATTAGAATATCTTTACCTGCTATTTCTTGCATTCTTTTTAATCTTTAAAACTGAACATTATACTTTTATGGTAAGATACTGGCAGATGTTTTGTGGGTTTGGCTATGTTTCAATTAATGACTACTTATTTAACAACTGCTGTGCCAATTGCTTCATGTCCCGTAGTGATGGTAACATTGACTTTTCAAAAGGGATGGGAGGATGTTGTTATTCATCTCAGAAATATATCTGGGATCTCAAAGCACCGTCGTATTTTAATTATAAATAATATTCACGATTCATGTTCAAATCAGCTATAATAATTACAGGTTTGCGTGGTATCGATCTGGGTAATATGTTGATAAAGCGGGTAATTGCAGAGATTTCAAACACCAACCCGCACATACGCGTATTTGCAACTTTATCACCTATGCCGTATTTTCGTAGCTGGCTTTTACGATCCCTTAAATGTGCAGCACCATCTGGTAAAACGTTTCTTTAATGTGAGGTTAAAAGTCTTAACATGAGATTGAAAACAATAGTATTGCAAGAATAATTAATTTCAAATATTCCTAATATATCGGGAAAGTTAAAGTAATGACTTTCTTCTTCATATCAATTAATTTAGCGATACCTCGTGTATTTCTCTGAATGGTCACGAGGTTTTGATGATTTCAAATCATACCGGTTTGGATTTTTCAATGAAATCGGATGTTACTGGATGTGATCTACGGTGGTAGGCATGTGATATCAAATTCCCGCTTCAGCGCCACAGCGTTTAATATGTCGCTGACATGTGGCGAGCAGATTTAAAAAAAAAAAAAAAAAAAAAAAAAAGAAAAAAGTTTTTGAATTAAAAAAAAAACATTAAAAAAATTTTTAAAAATGAATATGTGAGATTAACTGGATCTATAGGAATGACACCACTAGTTATTATTTTTCATTTTTTATCTTCAAAATATTTCAGTAGATGTGATTGATGAAAGATTATTGGAAATTTGTGAGGAAAATGAATTCTTTGAAGGCGACATTAGAATAGTCGAGCTCGTACGATTGTTTCTTTTGGATCATTTGAACAGAGTTAATGCTAGCAAGTATGCTAATTTTCTTTTCGAATAATGGTGGTTTAGAAAAAAAAAAAAAAGAATTTGAAGGATTGGTCACCGCAGTGGTGTTGTTTGCAAGGAGTGAAAGCAGTGTCTTAAGTAGAAGATACGAGCTCGAGATAGGTGAATAGGAAAATTTTCGGTTTGGTACATATCTTTTATCTTTCTGTTATTGAGTTGAGAGATGATATTGATGGAGTTATTAACCAATACAGGCTTCTTAAATTTGGTAAAAATGAAATTTTGTTGCTTTATAGAGAGAATTAGTTGAATAACTCTCTCCTAATATGGTATGCCAGAATATTCCTTTTCACCAAATATTGAAATATATTTGCAGATATGAAAAAATTTTCGAGATTATTATGCATTTAGCGGTTCGGTATTTGCTGGAAGCAAAACATTCTGCTACAGGACGTGCTTTTGATCCCGTTGGTTGGTAGTTTACTATTACTGCATGTATGGTATTAGTTCCTTTATTATGAAGAATTAGATGCGATGTAATTACTGATAAATAACCTTCTACTATTTTACGTTGATGTACTCGTGAATGGTGAGATGCGAATTAACTTTTGTTAATTATTCTCTTTTCACTTTATTACTCATCTTTTTCAAGTTAGTAATTCACTAGTTTTATTGACTGTCACACCTTTTTATCTGTCTTAGAAATCCTTTTTATCTTGCATAAGAATGGATTTCACAGTCAGCGTACTGTTACTATGTTTGAGACTGACTAGGCTTTACTTTCACTTTTCCAATTATTTATCTTTTTATATTTGTAATTAAAAATTCAAACTGTTTTATTTCATGGAAGCAGTTTAATTTAAATTAAGATTTTAATCTGTTTGGGTTTTCAGATTTTATAGATATTCTTCATTTATTTTAGAAAATTTTCATTTGCGAAATGGCGCAGAAATTTATGCTGTAAATTGGAAAGCTGATACAACAACAAAGGGAATGGAAAGTAGTTATGGTGTGATGGTGAATTATCTGTATCGATTAGATCAGGTTATTATATGCACTTGATGTATCTAAGCATTGAAGATTCTTTACTTAAGAATGACAAGTAACAATTATAAGTAAAGTATTCAATCTGTTAAAATTTATTTGATTATCCTTTACGAATTATTATGGCGATTAAGTTCTATTAAATTATTTCTGGTGACTTTTTCAAGAATTACTTGAGTTTATGTGACTTGACTGTTTTAATTATAATTTACTGGTTGCCTTGGTATACAGTTAGATTTGGTTATATGCGAAATATCAAGTTTGAAATTCATATCATTTCAGGTTATGAAAAATTCAACTCAGTATATTCAAAAAGGAGAAATTGCAATTAATTCTGACGCTCTAGCGTTATTATAATAGGAGCCAAAGAGAATATCTTTGCATAAGAATAATAATTAACTGATTTCTTAGACGTGGCGTTTTATTTTCATGATCTCATAATTTCGCATTATTTGACTTCCAATATCTTATTTCTTAATTATTCCAATCTCTTGTCTTCTCAGATACTTCTGAAAGGTAATGGATTCAGAACCCATAATTTCTGATTTGATCTCACGCTTCAACTTTTCTTTTTGATGAAATGTGAAAGTGAGTGATGCGGCGGTTCACAATTGGAAAATTAAAGAAAATAGAAAATCAAGCTCATGTTTTTATTTAACCTTTTCGAATTTCATATCTGGTTATCTTCAACATTTCATTCTTTATAATAGGAATCTCGCACTTTCTTAAAAGTGCAAACAATTCGTATGCCTCCAATATTTTGGACAACTGACATGTCTAACTATTTCCTCCAGCATTTTCATTTCTCACTGTAGGAATCTCTTACTTTATGAATTAATGAAGCACTTCCTAACATTTTTTACAGTGTCACTGTCTTATTCATTGTGCGAATTGTATATTTGGTATACCTTCCAGATTAATGAATTAAATGCCGAAAGAAGGAAATAAAGGAATTTTTCGTCTCCTTTCATTTCTTAATTATAAATCTATTCAAGGAATTAATTCAGTAATTCGGAAAAGAATTTATGTAAATGTCATTTGGAGAACGAAGTGTTCAGGATTCATACATTCATCAAATTTATCCTGAGGAGGATGGTATCATTTCTTTCATTTTTTTCTGGGAGATTTGAGATGCCAGTCATTAAAGCGATCCTGACTTTCAGGAGTGACTCTTATCCTTTCGTATCGCTTGATAAAAATTCTTATCGTTTTATGTCTGCCCTATTTCAAGCCGATAATTTTCATTGCCAAAATCAAAATTTTCTTTGGGACTTTGTGCCGTATTTCTCGACTGCATAATGCATAATGCTATTGAAAAGTTAAGTTCCAATTCCCTTTTGATCTACACTTCTTCGGCATAACCAATTTTTACAGTACAACTAGTATTCCAGCACATTCTTGCATCCACCGGTGCTTATGCTAGCACATTGTATTCTGAGATTTCTGGTGCCATGCTGTGTATATCACTGTGACTATTTTTTTTCTTGATTGAATTTTCAGAAATTCGGTAAAATTAACTGCACAGGACGCTAAAACCACTGCAAATTCAATTCAGTGTTATAGGGACGTCAATTTATGCATCTGTCAGACCTACCACAATTATGCATTTGTCAAACTCATCTCCTCTCCTTGTCACACCAACTCTCGGCTATCACACCCACAGATGCGCAGCGCCATCCGCAACGCGACACGTCGCGTGGCTTCGCATATGCGCTACGAAGGGCTACTATTGCAGCGTTATAGCACGTGTAAATAACACTAATTTCGGAGTTACGTTACACGGCACAGTTATGAGGGAGTGAGATTAGCTGATTAGCAATCCCGTTTAGCATTGGAATTGATATGAACATTGTGCTTAAGTAGCAATCATCATCCGAGAGAGAAAGGTTTTGAAGCGAAAACATTTGATAACCCGCTTATTTCGGCGGTTAGCGGCAGGAGTTGAGACGGGTGTGGGCGTGTTCTTACCTTTTTCCGTGACGTGCTTTACACAACTCTTTGTTTCTATTGGGCGTGTACATATATTGCTAGTTGCAAGAGCAACATGAAGCCTTGGAAGAGACGTAGGCTAATTAATACTTTTAGCTTTGCTGCATGATATGTAAATTTTTATTCCTAAGTTTCGCTTGTGTATGTGCAAGAAGTGTCACGGAGTCATTTCATTTCCGTCATGTTATTTAATAGGAAATAATTCACGTTTCTACTTGCTAGGTGGATAATTTCACAGGTTTCTTTACTTGCTTAATTAATGGTTTTGTCTCTTAAACATTTTATCATAAAAAATAATATGCCAATTGAACTTGAAAGTAAAGTCTTTGGATCCTTTAAGTAGCTTAATTAAACGATTTCCAGAAGTTTGGAAATTAGCATACTTGATGCTAATGAAAATACCGAAGAATCCCGATCCTTTGATAACCGTCAAGGAATAAATGGAAAAATGACGCCACAAACAAATATCCAGGAACTTTTGTTTGAGACCTTGTAGTTGTACTTATTGTGCGAGAATTCTATTTATCTCTAGCAACCCTAATCAGTAATGCAGGTATTATGACAAAAGCAAGCGACAGCAATTGTTTATGCAGTAGTGTTGTGGTGGGTGCTTAAAGTGACAGATTTCTTTATGGCATCAATCGTTGTTGGCTTTTCTATCGTTTCATGGCGCAAATTGATCCCACTGCATTGATTCAAGCATATATTCCATTTGCTAAATCAAGGTATTATTCCATTTCTTAACATATTCCATATAGGATAGTTTCGATGACCAGGTCATGATTTAAAAACTTTGATACAAAAACATATGGTTCTAATAGGTCTAGTACTTCACACAATGTTCAGTTACTGAAAAGGTGAAAATATAAGACAGAATGGTTCCTTAAATGAATCCTTATATTTTAAGAAAACTAATATAGTCACCTAGAAACAAACTGTTTAGTTTGCACACAGCGAAGAGGAGAAAGAGAGACAGTATGTTCCAAATGAAATAGTCACTGTTTTTATTCTTCAGGATGCGCGTTCTCTGTGTTGTTCATCTCAATGAGAATGAGTGAAAAGGAGTGAGAGAGAAGGGAAAAAGAAAAAGTGAACGGTTGGATCTATTGAGAAGTTTGAATAAAGTTACGTGAAAGCCTTTCCTAAAACTAGCATTGTTTGTAGTTGTTCAATAGATGAGTTAGTACGAAGCAGGGTTGAGCTATGAAAAGACCGACAAATACAAAAAAGGGAACCGAAAGGAGTAGTGATAACCATCACTGGGGTATCTTCAGTGAATTATTGTTATTGATATAGTAATTATAATGGGATAACTGCATTTTAACAATGAAATTTCACAAAGATTTCTGAACTAATTGGCAATTTTTTCTTTTAGAGGTATATTTCATTCCACTCTTTTGTGTTGACACTCTTTCGCTTTTTTTTTCTTTTTTCATTTTTTCTGTTCTTGTTTTACTCCCTTTGCATATGAGAAGGTCAGATATTATCTTAATATGTACATAAGTTGTTATTGTAATGTTTTTTTTTTTTCTCTCTCTCGGTTTTTCTCCACATAAAGTTTGATAAATGAAATTTATTATAGTCAAAGTCTTGATTCTGAAAAACAATCAATGATGCGATCTGCTGCGAAGAATTGCACTGTACTAAATTCGTCGGTGTCTAATTCAGGACAAAGCACGTCAAGAACATGCGAAATTGTTGAACGTGAACGTGGATACGAAATGGCTGCCAGTGCTAATTCTGGTCTGTTTTGAATTTCCTAACAGAAAATCACATTTACTATGCCCTTTCATTTGAAAATCAGTTCAAGAAGGCTAATGATTTTATTGGGCTATAACTTCTAATTTTATCTTAAAATTCATAGACGGAATATGAATTTATTATGTGTTATACAAATGTAGAGTTAGTTATCGATTCAGTGTAAATAAAGTTAATGACACTAAAAGTTTTAAAATTAATTGCCGAGACACTGTGTTTAGGGTCAACCTCAAATCATGCACCACCGTCATTTGACTCTACAGGACTACGTATGATTCAAACGAATTATCGAGATAGTTCGTCATCACCACGTTCACCTCCAGCTCGATGGTTTCTTCTTTATCGTTTCTTTTGCATACATTTATAACATGTCATGAACTTTTTGTCGTAGAAAACGGGTGTTACACGGAAAAAGGAGAAGTTGAAAAGTGCCGCTGATTTGATACTGATATGTCAATACAGTTTGATGTTGAACTATGCATTAGAAGCTTCCCAGCCCACTGTCTGGGAAATAAACAGAACTGACATTCCAGTATGACAGACTGATGAATTTTTATAATCGGATTAATTTATCGACTTTTCTTTGACCTGTTTTATTATTCATCACCATAGCAAGTGTCTTTTGATTAGTTGAGCATCACAGTAATGCAGTTTTTTAAAGTGTCTGAAAATCCGATGCAGATGTCGAGAAGTTTGAATTCTAATTTCATAAGCATGTCAGCAGATTTTACCTGGCATGATTTGTTGTTTTAAATCATTTTAAACACGCAATGGGAATATATTTTCGAAACATCATGAACCTATCTATTTTACTACTTAAAAAATAAGGAAACTATCAGATAAAAAAAGACATGCAGCTTATATAGCAAATAAGATCTTTTTTAGCGCCAAGCGGTTAAAAAATAATTCATCCACATCGTCAGCGCGTAGCTCAAGTGTGAGCAGTACTGTTAGTACGTTATCAGCAGTTATTAATCTTAATAATCAATCGCCAAAAAGTCATGCTGTCTCGGACACTCCACATAAAAGTGCAGGAAAACATCTGAACAATGCAAATTCTATCCAAGCGAATGTTGGATCGACAAAACTCACGAAGTATTTTGCTCGAGACATGCTCCATGGCACAAATAATGTTAGACGACTTAAGTATGGTTTTTTAAGTTCTAACAAATGAATTTTGTCAGTGTGCTGATAAAAAAAGTAGGAGTTTCTTGGTTATGGTCGTATATTCTTTCTCTGAAATACAGAACTTATAAAAATTTTTATGCTTTTTCAGAACAAAAATGAAGTCTTACAAACTGTTTGTTCTGTTTGTTTCAGTTCTCCGCCAGTTCGCATTAACTCTCACCTGGATCTTGCAAATCATAATGGCTATGATGATAACAGACCATCAACGTCTAAATGTTTTACATCGGGATCGAAGATCCTACTAAATGGTGCAGTAAAACGGCGTATGGACATAAATACTAGTCACACTTCCACCAGAAAAATGGAATCTCAGGTTGACTTTGACTGTATTAATTTTTAGACGTTATTTCAGTTCTGCTTCATGCTTTTTCTTTAGTTGCTATGCTTTTTAGCGTACCTCACTTTAAAAAAGTAGAATAGGGGGATAACTTTTGGAAGGATTTTCATTAGGAAAAGAAGTTTATTATCTCAAAGTCCATTTCCTTTTGCAGTACTTAAGTTTTCATTCAGGAAAATCCAAGGCTTCGGAGAAAAAGTTTAGGGATAAAGGAGTAGTGTGTCATATGGTTAGCTGGATTGAATAACACTCCGTTATGATCGAAAAGTCTGTTTCTGATTCTTCAACGGTGGCGAAATTCTTGTACTCTTTCATTTATGTTTTTCAGGGTAATAGAATTCTGAACGGTAAAGCTGAAGGGAAACGATTGATACCAGAAAGCAGCGAATTGGAAACCAGATTCCCTGCAAATAGTCGTACAGTATTTTATGCAACATGGGAAGGCAGCCGTGTTCTGGTCTGTTTCGATTTATTTTCAAGATAGTGTTCAGAATATTTGTATATCCATTAATTTTGAAGTGATTTCATTGCTTTGAATTTTCTGAAACTTCTGTTATTTTATTTTCAGAATCCGGATGGTCGTAATGTTGGTGTTGGACTTTGTAACTATTCCAACGACTGCTTTTTAAACGCTGTTCTTCAGATTATTTTGCACTGCATTCCGTTTGCACGATATCTTGGCGAGCATCTCCCCTTATTTTCTTGTAAGCTAACTTTCTTGTTTCACTGCTATATTTCATGTTCTGTCTGATCGTTTTTTGTGCTAAATTTAAATTGCAGGTGTGAAGGATTGTGTCGCTTGTGGTCTGGCGAGATTTATAAGGTATTCAATGTCGAGCAGACAACCATTCAAACCAGCTTGGATTAGTTTCATTCTAGAAAGTAGGATTATCTCTTGTTTAACGTATTGTGAATTATACTTTATAAATCAAAATATGCTTTTATAAATAAGGTTTTAGAAATGTGTTGATTTGTTATAAGTTACCCACCGTTTTCCAGAGGCATTTCCATCTCACCTGTTAGGTGCACAGGAAGATGCTCATGAAGCTCTGAATCACATACTGGATGCTCTCGATTCAGAAGCACGGAATGGAATGTCCTCTTCTGATCGTAATTTCTCAGATCCATTGAAGTACTTTTTGTGTTGTTATTGCATGAGAATATCTTTTAGAATATAAAAAGCCAGAAAAACTTTGATTTAGCTGAAATTAGAGATTATTCTTATTCCTTGAAAACTAGGCTTGTTTTTATTTTTTTAGTGGACCACGCTTTTCAACACCAGTGGAACAACTTTTTGTCGGGACATTACGAAATCAAATTCAGTGTTCGGCTTGTTCCGCAATACTAATAAATTACGAGCGCTTTCGGGAGCTTAACCTTGGCATAAAGAAAACAGGTTATGATAGGCGGATAACTTTGGAGGATTTGCTCGACGATTATTTTGGCAGCGAAGTGTTGAACAGTTTTAAATGCACTAAGTATCTTTTGTTTTTGGCTCAAGAATTGGACTGACAAATTCTTGAAATATAACTTGAAAGAATAAGTTAAGTGAGGGGACAAAAAAAGCGCAAAGATTAGTTTAAAATCAAGAGATGATATTTGAATTTTAATTGGTGTGAGTACCTTAATGGAGTAGTTAGGGAGTCGGAAAAGTGATCAAAGAGAAGGAATAAGTGTCCCGGAATTAAGAGATATGTTCTATAATCATGAAATCTGCAGCTGTAAGAGGACGACGCAAATTCAACGTAGTTCACGTATTCTGCGTGCACCGAACCTTTTACTTATCCAGATAAAACGGTTCAATTCGTTTGGTGGAAAAATAGGCGTTCATGTTAATTTCAATGTATGTTGTTTCAAAAAAACTTGTCTTGCGTTATACCATAAACATTCATTGGCCTATAGTATGTCTTCAAATGACTGCATTGTGCTTCTGATACAGTCTTCCTTTGAATCTACTCGCCTTTTAGTTCAAGATTGCTGTAATTCGTTGATCACTGCATAATGCCCCTCATTTTATATAAAATAAAAAAAAAACATAAAATTTATATAAAATTTTATATAAAAAAATTGCATTTATTGTTGCTAGTATTTTTTAGTTGAGGCTGGATCTCGAACAATATATTCATCGTGGAGGAGAATCACATGTTTACGAACTTACTGGTATTGTTCAACATATGGGTAATGCAGTGGAACATGGTCATTATATTGCTGTTGTAAGAGGTTTTGATGGTAGAAGTTATTATATGTTCGATGATGAACAGGTATATAGTGTATAAATATTGTTTTTTGTAATCGACATTTGCATAAAATTTCTATGCAATCGACATTTAGTTTATTTGCTGAGAAATATGGAATTTGACTGAAGTAAAAAAGAAATTAGCTGCATATAACATTTACGTAACTATCCTACTTATCTACATCTCCGTTTTTGGTTTTTCATTGAGTCGCTTCAGCGTAATGTCGTGTACGTTAGAGTGATCGTTTTTAAGTTTTCAGAAAATGTGGAATGAAGCTTAAAATATTTACCGCAGATCACTTTACTGATTTGTCTGTTAGTGTTTAATAATAGCAAGTATATTTGTTTTGGAATATTAAGCAAAAAAAAATTTTTTGGAATATGAGCACTGTATCTGACGTGCATTCTGATATGTTTAGTTTTGTAGATTTTAAAACTTTCCTCCAGTATTTTTGCACTTAGTGATGTTAAATTAGAATGACAGTCATTCCGACGAACTTTTTTTTTGTCACCGTGACATAATGATTTTAAACACTTGCTTTTCTAGCGTCACAGAGTTTCTCTATCTGAACTGCACAATACACAGGCGTACATGCTGTTGTACGTTCGTTGTGATGCATTCAGGAATTCCGTCTCATCTTCGGTAGCATTGAGTGCTGCAAATGAAACACAGAACGATGCACCTACCAGGAATCGAGTGATGAAGCGTCCATATATACAAATATCAATGGATACTTAAGCTTTGTACTTGCAATATTCACGGATTAATGGATGGTCTGAAAAGGGTCTTTTTACATTTGTTTTTTTGAGGCACTACTGTTTAAATAAAATTCCAAAAAGCAGTTGTAAACTAGAGTATCTGCGGATAACTTTGAGAGTTGTAGAGATGATTTAATGAGAGTGATAGCTGATTAATATTGACCACATGGTTTCAGATCGAATTTCTTTCTGTGACTTTTGGTAATATGAATTTTATAAGTGCTGAGAAGCAAGCTCCTAAAACTGTTTTTTCTTTTGTAGTGTTGCTTAAAAATGTGCATGTATTTTTTGGTGGTGTCATTTTATATTATATTAGTTATGTTAAAATACTAGTATTGGTGGAAATAGACTTGTTCTTTAACTGTAATCTTGTAAATCATTACTGACCACTGCTAATTAATTACTGCGTAAAGTTTATGGCAGTTTTGTTGTCTGTTTCTTTTTTCGTACCGGTCATTTAGGCCCTTTATTTGTTCAGTGTGTGCACTGCCTTTAGAATTACTTGAAATTGTACTTCTGGCGTTATATTTAAGCAACATTTAAGAATTTTTTCAATTTTTCTGCCTTCTATCAATTTCTATTGGATTACAGTGGAACTGATTTTATGATCCTCGTGATCTGCTTTACACTGGGTTCATTTGTTTTGACATCTACTTTGTTGGAGATCTCGTTGAATTCATTATGATATACTTCTGGTGACAATGAAATGATCTCCCACAGTTATTCCCGATATTCTTACTGTTTCCCTATTTCAGAATAAAATATAATTCTGGGGGGGGGGGGGGGGGGGGGGGGGGAGGGGTGGTTTATGCATATATTTCTAATGGGGAAAAAACAAATACAGCTGAAATATATTGAACAGTTCTCTGTTTTAGTGACTTATCAACTTCATTTAAAGTGTTACAAGTCAACGAATCTCCAGCCCTCACTTTCCAAAATGTGTTAATGAAAATAAGTGCTTCTCAAAAATTATAAGGTTATTCATTATTTAGTCTCCCAGATTTCTTCTAGTTGTGGGAAGTCCATTTTTTGGAAGATTCAGAAGTCCATTTTTCCAAGGTTTATCATTAATGTCCTTTTTTACATTTCCATACACAAGTAATGTGAAAAAAAAAAATTTCTGATTTTAAACAAAGTTTTGAATGTTTACTTCGTCACTTATTTCGGAAAAAGTGTTTGAAAATGCAGGGAAACTGCACATTTGTTTGATGAAGTGCGATGTTAAGAAATGAAGGGCGATGGAGTATCTCTGGATTTCTTAGTTTTTACGGGTTGCCATTTTGCTTTATGGCGACTCTTTTCTGTGTTGGTTGTATATTTATTTCATTTTGTAGGGTAACTTGTTTGTTCTGATACCAGTGAATTGTGTCTTAAATCGTTCCATATATTTCTTTTTCAGTATTTTTCTTGTAGCAGTCTGAATCTTTTGAATTTAATGTAGTACTTCATTGATATATGGATTTTTCAAATCGTTGAACATCCTCTGGAAGAAGTGACAGATTCAGCATTTGTATCCAACATTGACGTGTGCATTCTAATAATTTAACAGTCTTCATGGTTTTTGGATGTCATTCTCAAACTGTTTCTCAGAATTTCTAAAATTTGATATTATTGTTTCGTATTTATCAACGAAAAATTGCCTCGGATTTTACTGTTACATTATTTGTTTGTTTGTTTTTCTTTTTTCAAGCATTAAAGTTTGTTTCCTGTAAGAATTGTTTTAGTATAAAGCGGTATTTCGGAAATTTTTATCGATTTTTGCATGTTTACAGGCTGGTAATTTTTTTAGCTACTAGAAGAGTATAATTATGCGATATGACCACGGAGCATTTTATTTTGTTTCGAAAGTGTGTGTCCTGGACCGATGTTTGCATTGAGATATTCCAGAAATATTTGCTACCTTCAAGTGTCATGCGGTAATTTCTCTTTAAAGGATGCTTCAAGGACTGATATTTGAAGCAGTCACTTTTAACTCAGGTCTGTTCAAAGCGTTTGCTTAAGGTAGTGGATTATTTTGTGACGAACGAAAGCTAAGCTGTGAACATATCAGAGAGGAGACCGGTTGAACAGTTGATGCTGTTGTTGTTCAGCCTGTTTGGGTTATTATATGGCACATTCAGGATAACAATCTTTTCAGGTTTTTGCTTGATAATGTGGGCGGTATCGAAAGACGGTATTGAGTTGTTACATGATTGGCTGGATGAAGTGGGTGATACGGATATGAAAGTACGAAGTAATCGTTTAGTAAAGGTGGAAATTTCGCACTACTAGCAATTCTAATATTAAGACTGATTCTTTTGGTAATCTTGAAGTTACGTAGTGTATTGGGAATCGGAGATGTTTTTTTTATGAATAAATACTAATTTAGCCCAAAATAAGGTGTGATAAAAGTGTGACAGTTTACACAACACTTATTATTGTTGCAGCAGGGAATGATGATATTTGATTGCGATGAAATGATGCCCATTTTGAAGTCTCTTTCCAAGAAATTTCCTGTCTACAAGTTTGTTGGGAAGATTAAGCCTCATGTTCCAGTGATTGAGAAAAAAGTTGATCCCGAATATGAGGCTAGGCTAGAAAAGTTGAGGCGAGAAGAGGTAAATATCTAGGAAACTGTTTGTAATTCGTTACTTTTTCTTTAAAATTTTTAGAAAGTACCATGATCTTTTAAACTTCTAGTAAGGTTCATTTTTTTATTTCAAGATTTATTCAAAAATGAACTACGTGTTTATATGTGCAGTTGATTTTTGGGCTTAATTATTATTCGGAAAGATAAAAGGACTTTGTTTCAGGAAGATCGCGAATATCGTAAGATGACACGATCAGTTGATCCTAACCAGATTTATGGGCGTGAAAACTTGTTACATGGATTTGCTGAAGTGTGAATTTACTAGTTGCTGTTAGAATTCTCCTTATAAGATTGATCTTTACTTAACTTTCATTTTCTTGCTTGACGATAGTGAAATTATAAGCTTTCTTGAACTAATTTTTCTCTTAAATGTATGTTTTTTGTATTTTTACTGTGTTTTGGGAAATATAATTATAATTTGTGAATGATAATGCTCTGAACATTAAGCAGCGGTTAGTAAGTGGTCTGTTACGATTATGATAATCACTGAATCTCAGTTGTGTTGTGGAACGATGATTGTAAAGTGCTTTTGTATTGCAGGAAATGAAAGCAGTGAATAAACAGTTGATGGTGATATTAAATACACTTCTCACAGTAGCTGGTGGTTTTTCATTCGGATATTTTGGTAAACGTTTTTTGGTTTCAAAAAAGTATTTTTTGAAGTAATTAAAATATGTACTGGATCATTTTCAATACGATTCATTGTCCTACTTTTTATATTTCAAACTTTGAGGGAGTTGGTTATTTTTTCTTAATGTTCTCATTATTGTTGCAAGACTTTCAGTTTTTCTTCATGAATATCAAAAATTTTGGTATTTTAGGAATAGGTTATGCTTATCCAAATTTACATCTGAATGTGGCATTTCGAGTAGCTCTTGGTCTAGTAATTGCCACTGTTGTTTTCTTCGCAGATCTATACTTCATAGTAAAAGGAATGGATGATGCAGGAGAGAAACCAATAAAGGTTCACAAATTTACCTCTTCAAGACTTGTAGATATTTGTGATTGTTAGAAAGCTTACATGACAATAGATTTTTGTTTGAGGAGATTTCATGCCATGTTTCGTTAAGACTTCAAAACATATAGTAAAAATTTTTAGCCAAAGAAGATGGTTGTAACAGAGAAGATACGGAAAAGTAGTACGATAAAGAAAAAGCAGTGATTGAATGCGTAGAGCAATGTTACGATTTATAAGGAGGTCTTTTCAGTTTATTTATTTCGATTAATAGTATAAGTAGTAGAATCTGTCGTGCGACTTTAAATGTTGCATCATTCATTGTTTTATTTTTTTTTATTATCTAATTTTATTAACATTTTTTTTTGCAGCGAATAATTGCAGTTTTTATTTAAAGAAGTTTATATGTAAAAATGGAAATTTATATGTAAAAAAATAGCTTGAAATACCAGGTAGTTCAAAAGAATTTCTAGAATAACTTTATGATATATTTTACTCTTATACATAAGGTTTTTGCTTCAACTAAATTATACCTATGTGAACTTCACTTTATTATGTAATGACCGTGCTATTACCATCATGCTCTTGATAAATTTTCTTTTGATTTTTCACTGTATCACAGATGAAGTTTTGTTTCTTATGTGTTAATTGATATTTTTATAACAGTCAGATTTAACGGAATTATTGTATATCCTTTTGTCTTTTTGTTTATTTAAGACTAATTGTTTGTGTTCTACCAAAAATAAGTTTTCCAAGATGTATCATAAAATATGATTTTGTATACTATACTATGGTTCTAAGATTAAAAAGCAAAATCGAAGGTGAATGTGCGAAAATATCCAAATAAAACTTAATATCGAAGTATGGCATTATCATGATTTTTGAGTATTTTTTGTATCCTTTTTTCTTACAATTGATTTCAAGAATAGTAAATCATTGGATGCTATCCCATATTGCGATTCGATATTTTCCTTCGGTACATGTTTTTTGTGTCGGTGAGACTTGTCGTTTTTACTGAGAAAAATTTCAGGTTGTTGTTTGAAAGTGTTCGTATATGCGGTAGCTTTCTAATACTATATGAAATTTTTATCTTATTTTCTGGTGGAATTCTAACCGAAATGTCCTTTCGTCGAATTAAATGTTTTAGAGATTTTTTCACTTTCTCTGGGCTTGTTTGCGTGCGGAAGTTTTCAACAGTGCACTCAAGTCATGGTGAGTAGAGTTTAAAATCCTTATTTCTAAATCCAGAGCTATTTATTTTTAAATTATACTGACTATGCTAATTGTTTAATAAAAATAGTTTTTTATGTACTGTACACTACATTTTGCTTTTCGCTTGTGTTCATATGTCAGAGAAAATATTAAAGAGCTGATTTTCATCTGACATGTCGATATACTTTTGTTTGATGTTACAGTCATTCGGAAAAGAATGACATCATTGCTGTTGACAGGTACTGATTCAAGAACGATTAACAAATGAGTAACAGTGATATTATAGGTAAAACAGCGGACATTAATCGAAGTTCCACAGCTGTATCACGAGCGTTCATACCTTTGCGTTATATTCCATCCTCAGATTTAGGTCATTCAGTTCTAGCCAATAGTGATAAGGATATTTCATTAAAAATTGTGCAGGAAGGTGGAACTCTGTCTCCAAAAATGGTATTCGCTGCAAAAGTTAGTTTTTCTTATTTAAAATGTTCAAGTAGTCAAGCTGTTCTGAGCATTTGTCTTTTTTGGCTTCCTTTTTTACTCATTTTAGATATTATCACTATCCAGTTCAGCTGTTAGTCTTGCTATGATACCAATAATATCACAACTTGCAGCTCGAAAATCAGGGACTGGCACTATTACTGCAGGTTTGCTTCCACTTTTTCACTTTTCTTTTTATTTTTTAACGACTTAACCGGAAGTTTTCAACAGTGCGCTTGACAATTCTTTTGTCTAAGTTGACTTTATGAAATTTGAGAAGAAATGTACTTCATTTGTTGAATATTTGGTATTTTCAGGGTTTTTGTTTGCATTGTTGCGATCTAACAACCAATATTTTTATTTCTTTTTTTACACTGTGATTTATATTTTCTCAAGTAAATAACAGTGTAAAGTAACGGAGTGCATTGTATGGAATTTTTTGTTTCTGATATTTATTAATGTGTTTTATAGTTCTGGATTCGTTCTTCATTTTGTATGCGTTTACACCGATTTTATTACATCAGATCTTGGTAAAACGATATATAATTGATTTATATTATAATCCGAATACGGAGGTATATTTTTTGAAATATTTCATGAAGATTAATCAATTCTTCTGCTGACTTTTTGATCTCATGATTATTAAATCAGTTTTTTTAATTTGTTTACATCGTGAAATATTGCGTAAAAGATGCTTGCTATCTTCAAATTTTTTTTGATTGGCAACCATTATTATGTTTTGATGTCGAGGTTTAAAGTGGTGTTACTTTCAATTTCAATGCCTTTTTAAACATTTCCATGCTTTGAAATCATATCATTTAGGCTTACGTTAATTTCTTGCTCTAAAACAAGGTATGATTTGAACAGCATTTTAGATTTTCACATCAGTACACTTTGGATTTTTCCTGGGCAAAAGAGCACTAAGATTTCGAGCAGAAGATGTAGTAGATTCGAACAAATCGGCAGATATGTTCAGAATATGGTTTCCTCTTGCTACTGCTGTAATATATGGAAAACCTTTGATGCTTTCTTTAAATGAAGAAACTTACGGAGATGTTGAAATCTTTAAAAAATTAACTAAAAATATCAAAGTAACAAGCTAATGCTTTGTATGTTGGGTGTTCTAATATAATTTATCGAATAAAAAATTCCTTTTTCTATTTTTGTTCATGATTATATGAAATGATAAATCCTATTTTTAAATCAGTTCAGCGTTATTTTCTTTGGACATTTATCGCATCTCAGTTTTAGTGGCGATACAAATGAAATTTAATTCTCCATCTTAATACGTTATTGTTTGCCGACCCATTAGTTTGATCTTTTTTAGGTGGTTTTGTGCTACCTTAGTTTTTTTCTGGGATTATAGTAGCATTTGTTCGTTTATCTTTTGCCATGATGAGGAGTGATTTTTGCTTTTTATTTCAAAATTTTTGATATCACTAAAAAAGATCATATCTATAATAAATAAAACACGACAATAAGATTTTGATATTACGAAATTGGTCTTTAGGAATCAAAATTGCATGTATATTCGACGTTTCATGTTATAATTCTGAAAATACAAACTTTAAATATATTTTTATCATTGAAATTATTTTTTGAAGTCTTTAATTTGTATTTCCTTAACAAAAATAGGAAGAAAAAATTTTTTTTTCGTAATAAATCTTTCGGAGTTTGTAGTATGCGTGTTTCATATTTAAAATTTTCTTTATTCGATTTCATATTTGCATATTTGAATAAAATATTTTTATCAATGATCATTCTTTCTTTTTCCTTTTCTTACAAAGAAAAAGGAAAAATTGATTTCAGAAAGTGATGTCATATGGTAGGATAGGGAATATAGTTTAACAAAGACTTAAAGATGATGAATATCTTTTTATATGCTACTTATCATTCCAATTCATCGTTATCATTTCTAACAATCAGAAGGAGGTAGGAGTTGGAAGATAATGAAATGACGCAAAACGTTTGCCACCGATCCATCCAAGCAATCTTTTTCTTCCATTCATTTTGTCTATTATTCAAAGCTTCTTTTATTACATCAAAGTTCGCCTTCTTAGCATTATTATATTTTCCACTTCCGATCAATCTAAGTTAATGATGCATTTTCTGAATTTATTCAACATTACATTATCATCCATCATACTATGGCTAATGCCTTCTGATACAATGGCAATTATTGGTGGTGAAGAGAAGAATTGGAATCGATTTGGTTTCCTTGTTAAAGTATTTTTACATAGTATTGCTTTTCTTTTAATGAATAAAAACTACAAATTTTCGTAATTTTATTACTTTTCAAAATTAAAAGAATTTTCAAGTTTCGTTTTTTTTCAAAAATTAAGAGACGAGAAAAGAAATCATATACATCATTTGTTCTCTAAAAATTCCGTAAAATCAATAATAATAAAAATCTGAAAGCCTTAAATCATTAATCGAAAAAAGACTATTACTTGTATAAACCGAAAAGCATGCAAATAAATTGATTGAAATAGTGATACAAATGAAATTCAATTATTTTTGTTCTCATAACATTTTTCGACCAGTCATTTAGACTGTGTGATACTTAATAAATATTAGAATAAACATTGTTAGGATAAGCTTCATTCTCTGATATAAATTTATGCTTAACAGATTCCAAATTCGAGACATGTGATATGTATGTTATTGACAGTAATTATTAGAGTATCGATTCGTTCAAGTAACCATTGCATCAGATCACAAAACTAATTATCAGTTTTAAATATCAAAATGAAACTTATCAAAACATTATTTGAAAATACCTCAGAACGAATACTTAATTTATCATTGCATAATATTTTCTCAGGATAAGCTTCATTCTCTGATATAAATTAACGTCAGTGACGTACGTGGATTGCATATGTTATGTTTTTTCTTCTGCACAAGATGACCGAATTAAAAAAAAAAATGTGAAAAAATTTAAAAAGTTAGTTTTTTAATTATAAAACAAAGTATTGCTATCGTAACTAATTTTGTTACAAACGAAAAAATTTAGGTATTTTCTCGTGAGGTATCATCAAACATTGTTACCAGTTGTACCGGAACCATCATTTCTACTCAACTGATATTGACTTCATCACATTGCTTGTTGAATGCAACAACTGGAAGAAGGTAGGATTCATGCAAGGTTTTCTATTTTTATCATTTTACTTCAAAAATGAAATTGTAATTAGAAAAAAACTACCAATATTAAAAATTACCAATAAAAAAAATGAATACGGCTTCTAATTTCAATTACATGTGCCGCCATTGGTGGAAAATGTGATAAGGAGATATTTGGCTAAGATTGTTGTTGTCATCAAATAGAGGATTAGAATAATTGATTAATTAATTTCATTGAATTCATTAACAGTCAGTTTGAAACACAATTTTAAGACAAAGACTTGCCAACTGAAATTCTAGGCTATCCGAATTCGTAGTTACTGTACAGTCATTGAAACGACCTAAAACATTAGCAGCTGAAGTGGTGGAAATTGGACAAACCTGGGGAATATTGAAAATTCCCGAAATGGCATTATCAACAGTAATTTTATATCGCTTACATTATCTTTAATTTATAAATCCAAAATTTTCTCCTTTTTTATTAATAATTTTAGTAACGCATTTTTTTCGAAAGTTAACTATTTATCAACGAAATTATATTGCTAAAATTGATTGCATATAAATCTTAAATTCCTCTTTGAAAAATCTAAATAAAATCTAATGAGTAAATTCCTGCCATTTCTTTTGTTAAAAGTATATTAGCATTTCTGCAAATATAATCAGTTTATGCCGAGATAGCAACCTTTTATCATTTATTAAGCTAATTGTTAATCGGAAAATAACTAATTCCTCCTATAGATTTTCTGTCCCATATTTCGGTTATCGCTGGGACAAATAATTTCATCTTATTTAAAGAGTAAGAAATTAAATATGCAAAAGAAGTAATGGAAGAATTTTAGATGCAATATTTGCTTACCAAATTGCTACCTTTTTGTAAAATAACGAACTTTTCATGAAAAATTTTTGAAAGTTTCATAAATTTTTTTTTTTTGCAGTAAACTTTTTAAAATTCTGTTATATTTACCTTCATTTATTTCTTTTTCTTTTTCCAATTTTCCTATTGCTCTTTGGGTAATAAAAATAAAAAAAAAAAAAAATGATCCAAAAAAAGGGAAAAAAAGATATTGGAATGGTAAAAGAAGTGTAAAAAATTAAGTAATTTAATAACTTAAATTCTTTTTTGTATATGTGTTAAATAAGTGATTTCATATAATGATACAATATCCAGTTTAGTTTTCACTATTTTTCTTTTTTTCTTATCTTGCATGAAATATTTTTTAGATTTAAATAAGAGAATTATATCAGATACACGTCAAACATTTATTTTAATTGTACAAATTACATTATGTTCCAAAGTATTCCAGTGAATGATAGTTATTCCTATTTTCAATTCTAGTTCTTTTTTCTCTTTTCTGACTCTTTTCGCCAATTTTAGCTTTGTCCACCAGTACCAGCACCAAAACATGTCGCTCAGTTAAATGTTCGACCATCATTGCTACAGTCTTCAATTATAAATTTTGATGTTTTGAAATTGAAAAAGAAAAAATGTTGGATTGTTGGATTTACAACTACAAATAACGGTCAGTAACTAATAATGATAAAAAAAGAAATTATGTAAAAAAAGAGAAAAAAAAAAATTTCTAATATTTTCAGCTAATATAAATGCTTATATACATCCATGTAAAAGTTTGCAAATAGATTCTCATATCTATAATATTTTATTTATTTTATACATTTTTTCTTCAAGATTTTGAAATTTGTAGTTTTAACAGTAAAAAATAAATTTATAACTTGTTTATTTCTTATTTTAGCAACTGAATTCATCAAGCAAGATCAAATTCAATTAATTAACATTCATTCGATCAATCCTGTAAAAGATAAGCCTAATTATTTTTGGTCACCCATTATTGTTAATGAGACTGCGTGTTGGGTTTGTTTATTCTTTTCTTCTTTGTATTAGCTAAAATTTATTGTAATTCTAAATTTAAACTATTTTTTCTTTTTTGTCGTGCTGTTTTAATCTTTTGTAGCAATCTACATATGCATTTTTGTTTTCTTCCATTGCACCAGTTGCCATCTCTTCAATTTACATTATAGATTTTTCTCGTTTTTTTTGCACTTGCAGATATTCGCAAAATTTTTGCGAATTCTTGAAAAGATTTCTTTTTTTCTTAAGTTTAGTTACTATCTTTTTTTTTTTCTCACAAAAATTCATTGTCCTCTTCTGACATACTTTTAATATCTGATCAGTCTTTTAATCATCGTTCACATTTCCGCTCCTTAAAGTACACAATGAAGGTCATTCACTTACACAACTGAATGAAATTATTTCCTCAGTTTTCAATTAAATATTGAAAAAAAGTTAAACGATGAAAGATATTTTACATTTATGCAAATTACGAATGCATTCATTCATTTTAGTTTTCATTTTTTTACTAATAATTATTTTTGAAATGAACAAAGTAATCTTTCATTTAATTTTCAACTTATTGCATATTGTATTTCATATAAATTACACACTTATTGATTATTATTACAAAATACACATTTATTCTTATAAGTTATTCATTTCTTCCGTTTAATTAGAGTAATTATAATTAAAAGATGTTCAGGATGATGCTGGTGCAGCTCTATTTTGCTCCACAAGAAATTGGGGACATATGTTAGTTGGTATATTTCAACATTTGATAGCAGCAAAGAAACCGAGCAATCCACAGAAAGAAGATGAAAAAATGGATATGATGGATAGTTGCAATCGTGCAACTGAAATTCGTTTCTCAAAAACGACTAATGAGCAAAAAATTTTTGAAACTATTCAAAAATTTGATCTTGCTGCATTTGTTAGCATATATCAAAATTGCTTCCGTGAAATTCCGTACAATTTGACACCCGGAAAATAATTTAGAATTTGAAATGTTTTTCATTCATTTTTTTATATATTTTTTAAATAATTTTCAAAATATACTGAATTTATTTCGTGCAGTGTTTATTCGTTACATTTCTCATTTAGGTTTTGCAACTTGCATTTTAATAAATTACTGCA